TCCCCCCCCCCCCGCCCTATACCATTTGCTGAGACAGGCTTTGCTCTTTCCTCCTCTCTTCCATTGCCCCTTACTCTTGCCCAGGTCTTCTCCAAAAGATCCTTTCACGGAGCAGTAGGGGCTCATCTTCCCTGTACTGCATCCTTTGTTTGTTCACCTTTGTCTCTGCTGCTTTCTGGCATAACTGGGTGGCCAGCTGTGGCTTCCCTGTGTGGCCACAGAGAGCAGGCGCCTGCCCCTGCTACAATCCTTGTCAAGCTGGCTCTCCAGTGCCCTCCTTTTCATTCCTCCCCAGGATATTCTGCACCTCCCACTGCGATGAGGATATTAAGGGTTGAGCAATATAAATCTTTTTTTTTTTTTGTGACATGGTAATATTTTATTCTGGAAATGACTAATGTATAGCTATAAAATTATGTATTTATTATGCAACAAGAGAAAAAATTAGGATAGTATATAAGAGGCTGTTCCTGGTTTAAGCATGCGTAAACACATATTTACAAGGAATGAATGAAAAATGATAGCGAGGAACTATTGCTGATTAGATTCCACATAAATAGGTTTGGACTAATCCTGTGCTAGTGTTTTCCACGTGCTCTTTCTATGTTTGACCACCGCTCATTGTACACCAATACACTGAATGATTGCTGCATATGAATAGGACAGCAAAGTGGAATCCAACTCATATAAGATTAGGATTTTACTTAATCCAACTTTCACATCCCACTACCCCGACAGGGTTTGCAAATTTGATTTCTGTTATTATCTCATGAAGTGGAAATTTCAATCACAATAACTGAGTGACTCCTGGTAATAAATTTCACTGGACCAAAGCTAAAAGCAGCTTTCTCTCCTCAGAGTAATGAAACTAAAGGAGCTTTTCAGCCAAAGTACCACAGAGCTTATTACATCAGGTATGAGAGAAAAAACAATATAATTGTTGAGGTGGTCAACAAACCATTTCAGACCAGAACAGCTCACTTGTAATTGAAGTAGTCGTAGAGATCAACAAGTAATTAAAATGCAGAGACGTCAGGAAGCATCCTTCTTTGTCCGGCTTTGTCTTAGAACCAGAAATCAGCAAGCTCAGCTGGTGTAACAGGCGAGATCCTGCTGCCATTTACATAATGTAACTCATTTCATAGGCTTTAATCCATAGGAATCAGCTGAAAATGGTAACTGATAAGAACAGCTACAGTTCTTATCATATCACATTCTGCTTGGCAATAAGGCAGATCCTTTGGATTTGCAATGGCCGTAAATTTGCATTTGGTACTTTCTTCAGCCAGGTTTGGAGAGTGCATACCACTAGCTTGGGACATAGGAACAGAAAATTACGTGATACTAGCAGTCCAATGCTGAGGTGAGCTCTTGGTTGTTGGGTATCATGCTTTATCACTTTATGTGAGTAAAAATCTGACCCCATCATGCATTACAAAAACATGTCAAATGAGAACAGGATCTTTAGTGTGTGTGCACAGATTGTTATCGTCTTCAATACAATCCTTTTTAATTATTTCATTTTCTCTTAAGGCATAATTCAATCCGAAGACAGCTCAACCTCTCCAACCCTGACTTCAACATCCAGCAGGTTCAGAAACAGGAGCAATTGACAGGGATTGGCCGCATTAAGCCAGAGCTATATAAACAAAGATCAGTGGACACAGATGATGGCCGGAGGAGTAATAGCAAGGCATGCGGAAAACTGAACTTTATTCTGAAATATGATTGTGATTTAGAGCAGCTGATAGTGAAGATACACAAGGCCATCAACCTGCCAGCAAAGGACTTCTCTGGAACTTCTGATCCATATGTGAAGATTTATCTGCTTCCTGATAGGAAAACAAAACACCAGACTAAAGTGCACAGAAAGACCCTAAATCCAGTATTTGATGAAGTTTTTTTATTTACTGTCCCATACAATGATCTGAACGCAAGGAAGCTCCATTTCTCTGTGTATGACTTTGACAGATTCTCCAGGCATGACTTGATTGGCCAAGTGATAGTGGATAATTTTTTAGATTTGGCAGATTTTCCCAGGGAATGTAATATTTGGAAGGATATTGAATATGTCACCAATGTAAGTATTATAATCTTTCTTTTTGAGATTTTTGTTTCTGATTTTATTTCCTTAATCTGGTTATAACTTAAAAGTGTCTGATAAATTTGTGAAGGAAAATAATCCATTCTCTCTCTTTCTCAAGATTTGACCTTAATCCAAGGAAATTGACAGTACATTTTCATCCTCGTTTCTCATTCTTTGGATATGTTGAAGAATGTCTTATGTAGGAGATAGTGGGGTTAGTCATTGCCCTGCTGATAGGGTAGAAAAGCTGGAGAACGTTTTTCTCTTAATCTCACTTAATCTAAAATTTACTTAAGGAAATAATCCTTTTCTTATTTTGTCTGTCTTTCTGTGTTTCAAATTATTTACCACATAAATTACAGCATACGAATCAGCCAGAACTGCAGATTCAAGATTTCTTATGTAGTGATCTTCAGTCCGTCTAGAGACTATATTCTCATGAAGTGAGATCACACCACCATCTATAATCTGGGCAAACAGAGCCCAGACAATGCTGTCCAATATACAAGTGTCATCAGTCAGCCTATAAAAATTAAAGCTACACAAGCTATAAAGCCTATTAACTGTAAAGCTTATACAAGCTTAAAAACATAACAACCACCTCAGCACATGTTCCATGAAAGCAATGAAACACACTGAATTGGTTTAACTCTTCGTTTGGCATCACTTTGTTATATAGGGAAGTAGAAAACTTATAAAATAACTGTATTTCTGTTGTCCCAAACTCTCTGGTATCAAATTCTATGCAGGTATCCCATTAGTGATTAGGTACAAAACCACAAAAATTACTTTTGAAAAAGAAAGAGCTTTCTTCTCTTCTCAAAGCATGAGCCAACCTCCTTGTAATGCTATTAGAAATTAATCACGTGCATCCTATGGAGAACAGACCTTCAATGAGAAGGATACATTACAGAAATCCACAAAGGTGAAGCTACTAGTGCCAAGAGTCCGCAAACATTTCATTTGTTATGTCAAACTATACTCAAATGGAGTGCACATTTTAGAGTCAAATAAACCAGACATCATTAACAGTAAGATCAAAGGGTAAGTTTGTTAGACCTCAGTTCCAGAAAGCATTTAAGCGTATGCTTAACTGAGTGTAAGAAGCTGTTGAAAAGTAAAGGATGTTCTGAGACCAGTACTTTCCTGAATTCAGACCCTCACCTTACACCTCTGTGGTCTGGTAGCATGCCCATATTACAGACCAAGTGGATGAAATCCATTTTTTTGTTTGGAATTTCTTTTTGTAAATTGATATTGTCCTTGTTTTAAGGTGATTTCTCAGTGTTCTTAGTGTTACGTATCCGTGTGTGGAACATGCTGTGCACCCGCTGCACAATCCTCTTCCGCACTAGAATGGAACTGCAGCAGCAGCACTAGGAGTTCCCTCACTCGAGGTACAGGCGGGGACATGGACACTCAGTGTCAGAGAAGGATGAACCTGACTTTTCTATGAAAAGTTACTGCTTTTCAACCGCAAGGGAAAAATAAGAATCTGACAGAGCAGATGACAGTTATTCCAAGTGAAAGCCTGCCTTCATACAGCATTAAGTGTCCCAAGTTCAACTTTTCAGTTTTACAGTCAACTAAAAGTTGAATACACATGCACGCTGGACTTACTTTGATACGTAGTAGTCCTTTTTCCATGCTTGAACTTAGGCAAAAGATAATCTTTGGTATTTTCTTTTTAATCATAGAATCATAGAATGGTTTGG